AAAAGCTCAACTTTTCTTCTGAGGATGAAGGAACGTCAGGAACACAGTGACATCATCCTCTTTTAGTAGTTAACATTTGTAGCTATAAAAATGTTGTATGTGGAATCTCTACCTCCAACTCTTGTTACGGTCACAATTTCTGGTCATAATACGAAGAGTAGACAGTGTAGAAGAGGAGTACAAGTTCTAGCAAGACTGCATTGCTTACATAAATACGGAATGTTCTTCGCTACTTATAATGGCTTTTGAGTAACCAGAAATAAATTGCTGGCTGGAGATACTGAGCAGCAGGGCCAGCCTCTGCCCTGTTGAGCCATGGGGGACAGTACGCAGTAACTCAGTGGGCCCCATGAGGCCTCTCATGAACAATCTCAGGTAGGCCTGGGTAATGCGTTCAATATGTGTAATCTATTTCAATGAATACATCCAGGAAGTTAGGTCCTAATTCTTTATGTTGTCATCCTATTATCTGTTAGTATTGTAATGTAAACGACTAATTTAATAATGCTTTACATTTTACAAGCAGGAGGAGGAAGACTCAGATGAAGACCACTGTCAAAGCAGCCATGACTTATCATCTGGGCCAGTATCTTGCCTCCCTGTCGATGAGCACCTGTGTTACTCTCAGGAGGAGAGTGAGCCTGCATATGTTTCGCCTCTGGACGAAAAGAAAGTTTTCAGGCAAACAGCCTTGTCTATGTCCAATTTACATGAGGCAACAATGTAAGTTCTGCCTTTTTTTTTACTCTGAATGTTTTGAAATATTTCATGTAGCCTTTGGAAGTGAAACATGATCCATACTTATTGCATGGGAATATTCTATACCAAAGAAGTGAGTCAGTGTTTTGTTATGGAAGAAAAGAGGCAGAAGAGAGTTGTTGTTTGGGCAGCGTAGCTGTGGTTTGCGCTATTTATTCAAACAACTTTGTGCTAAGTCCATGAAGAGAAAGGTGAAGGAATATAAGCGGATAGGACAAATAACTACATATACAGAGGGGTAGATGCAACGTAATGGCACAGTAAAGATATGTGGACCTACCTATAACTGCTGCAAAATTTTCTGCTATATAACTACTTATGTTCTTACAAAGCAGTCAGAAAACAGAACACAGTTTGGCCAAGCAGGATAGTCTGCTCCTCTGTGTGTGTGTACTGGGATTGACTGAGCGATGTAAAAAATGCCAGAGACACGAGGCACACAAACAGTGAGAGGTGAGCTGAGTGAAGGCTCACGCAATACATGGCCACTGAATGTGCATAAAATCAATTTCATCCTTGCATAAGAGTAGTTACTAGTGTCTGGCTGCCCAGAAAACTTAACATCACCCTCCTCGCCTCCGTTATAAAACCAAAATAAAGCCCTCCTTCTGATGTGGAGTTAAGACTTTCAGGTTGCACAAGACAACAGATCTCTAGATGCACATGGCTGTTATCACTTAGCCCTGAAACTTGTTAAAGATGCTATCCAGGAACAGATGTGTTCTCATAGCTTATGGGATGGTGTCTTTTTTTTGGGAGCACTTAGATGCATAAATGAAGTTGACTAGGCACTACCAAAATTGAGAGTAAATAAAAATATCTTGGAGTTGTGTGGTTTTGGTTGTTTTTTTTTTTTTTTCTATGTAACTCAACTATGCATACAACAGTTTGCTCACAAATGCTGTGAAGATACTTCTGTGCATTTTGTTATTATGGAGAGAAAAAAAAAACAAACAAACACACACACCAACCAGCTCCATATGTCACAGTAGAAATCTTTTGCTGCTTAAAAACCTTATTCTCCAAATGTGGCCTGCAGAAACACTGATTGTGCATACCACTGCATTTCCACTGCATCACAGTAATGTTTGGTAACAGCTGCTTTTAAGAATACAGCTTGGATGTTGACTTTTATTAATTCAGTTACAGAGATGCAAAGCATTTCTTGTGAGATGCCGAGCCCTGTCAACTCCATTAATTCCACACAGACTTAAGACCACTAGCAAGACTCAATCCTGAAAGCTTTTTCCTCCCATGTTGTCCATAGAGTCTCTGCCTTCACTTTATTAGAACACTGAGACTACTGGTAAAAAGGGGAGGGGCACAACTGTTTCTCACATGATAGTACAGCCAGTTCTACCCATAGTTGGAGGGATGTGGTGGAACATCTTGGGGCACTGAGATCAGTTCCTGCCGTGGCCCATAGCAGCAGGCTGCTTCTTGCCCAAAGCCACAGCTTTTACGCTACTTCCAAGCAAATGGGGAGTTTCATGTTCTCGTCTCTGTTTTACAGGCCTGTTCTGCTTGAACACCTCAGAGAAACAAGAGCAGATAAGAAGAGGCTTCGCAAAGCTCTGAGAGAGTTTGAGGAACAATTCTATAAACAGACAGGAAGGTAAATAACCACCTCAGCAGAAGCCCTCTCCTTCTCCCCTTTGGGCTCCTAGGCAGACGTGTTTGGTTCTGCTAGGGTGGGCACTCTTAGGTGAGCAGGCCAAAGGAGCTGCAGCTAGGGACTGCCATGGAGGTGTCTGGTCTCTGTGGAGGTGTCCATCTCCCTGCTTAGTTCCTCTGGGATGTGGGCATCCCTTCCCTAAGGACGGTCTGGAGCTGGGGATCCTCCAGGACGTGCCTGCAATGGGTACAAACCCCACCTCAGCACAGGATCTTTCCTGAGCTGATGGCAGGCCGCTAAAGTGTCTTTCTGAGGTTGTAAATCTGCAGGGATTGCTCTTGGCAGTTCGGCCATTTTTAAGAGGACAGATTTAAGAACAGAAGCCACTGTTTTCTTTCACCCATAGCTGAATACTGGCTACTTTTCCACTCTTTGTTTATCCTCCTCCCTTCATCCAGCAAACTTGTCTGCTGAAAACTGCAGGGGATGTGGGCATGTAGTATTCTTGTAACAGTTTTCAAAGCACTATGTAATAACTTCTCTGCGTATTTGAGAATGAAGTACTTACTTATGCTTACATGGCTGACAAGAAAGACCATTGCCTGGTATATGAAAATTCAGTATTTTAAATACTATTAGTTCATTTCTATTAGAGCTTTTTGGTCCTGTCAAATTATGTCTAATCACCTACAGTTAGGGGGGAAGAAAAAAAAAAAAACAAAACACCAAACCAAAAAACCCCAACCCACTCCTCATTAGTTGTTGCATAATTAATTTTAAAGACTCTTTCTCCTCTTACTCATAAAAGTGATGGCACTTTTATTTGCTTTTCATAGGAGTCCTCAAAAAGAAGATCGGGTGTCAATGGCCGAGGAATACTCCGAATACAAGCACACAAAAGCCAAAATCAGGCTCTTGGAGGTTCTCATCAGTAAGCATGATATTTCCAAAACAATCTGAAGCAAATGCAATACCATCATATTGTTTTCTAGCAAAAAAACCACGCAAACAAATAAGTAATGAAAAAGAGGAAGTAATTTTACAGGTCTTGGTCTGCTGCACAATTATTTGACACGCTGAGATTTTTTTTTTTTTGATGCACTTTACCAATTATACTAGCTAGGACGAGAGAGGACAGCAATATGCAAGAATATTAAGCACGGGTGAGTGGACTATAGTATATATTTTTTTTCCTTTTGAAAAAGCCTTGAAGTGCGCTGTGAGAATGTTAGAAATTAAAAAGACACTGAAGTATTGTAGATCCTCAGTTTGACCTGCTCTTCGTTTTCAAAAGTGTGAGGAAACGCTCTCCAGGTTTTTAGTACATCTTAGTATGTGATAATTTACCCCCACATTTCTTTCCAGAATTAACATGCACTATGATTAACTATTAATGTCAGTTGCCAATGTGCTGATTTACTAGATTAAAAGAAACATGAGCTTAAAACAAATGCAGGAAAAACTCATACTCTGTCTTTCAAGACAGTGTTGCCATTCAATTCCAGTAGCATCAAAGAAAGGTGCATACAAAGCACCAGTGCCAGGATTTGGTCTAAAATTCTGGGAGTAGAGCAAAGTGATGCTGCCTATGCCAAAAAAGAAGGATGGAACATGACTGCCAAATGGAACTATTTTTTTTTTTTTTTTTTTAGAAATAAGAGAAAGTGTTTGGTAAAATGAAACAGATACAGTTTACTGGGAAGAGATAAAACAAATGTACTGGCTGCTGTCCTTTTCACTATGGTTCGCAGGACCTTGCTCATGGTACTTAAAATTCAGTAAAGAGATCAACTACATGCTAATTTTTAGTTCTGTATTAAACGTCACACTTTATTTTGCCTGACGCTACAACATTTGCTTTTCTAACTACCAAAGCTCGTTTAGACGCATGCACTTTGTAAAATGGCAGAGTATTTCTTGTGTTATAAATTGCCAGAGAGATATATATCTATATTAAAACAAGACTAGATTATTGCATTATGCTAAGATATTTTGGATAAAGTACATGGTATATAATTGAGTGTCACAGTTATCTGATAAGGAACGCTAGACTTCTTGTTTACTAAAAAATAAGATTATAAAAAGATATTTTTCCATTGGAATTATGCATCTTTCTTAACTTTCAGAGCACCACACTTTGTAATATTAAGGAGATTTTTTTTCACTATTTGTGATAGCCCATTTGTGTGACAAGTGTACTATAAACAGAAGGATTGTCGGTGGGTTTTGTATGAGAAATGAAAAGCAGGGATTCTGGGAAATACCTAGGCCCAGATAAAAAGGAAGGAAGAATTAAAAAAAAAAAAAATTAAAAAAGGGACTTGAATAAGTTGCATCATGTTTAGTGTTTTGCTTTAACTGTCATTTTGTATTGACCACATAATATAAGCAACTTGTTTTCTATCTTAGGAAGAAGATTTTTATTTTATAAAGCCTATTATGTCCCAACCATGTTTGTATTTATATTGTATGTAATGGCTCAGCATGATTTTGAAGACGTACACATTTTTGAGTAGTTTGGAGGAAAAAGTATGAACACTAAAAAAGGAATTTTTTATTTCTCAGAGGTTTGTTGTTTCAGTGTACTGACTTAATAATTTATAACTTAACTTTTATGAATCAGAAATGGTCTCCTTCGTAAATCTGTTTTAATTAAAGTCATCTAGAGCAACAGGAACAGATACAGAGCTATTTGAAGTTTACAAACTACATCTTTGATAAGGGAAAATGATTTCATGACATATGTATACAATTGATATTAAAATGTAATCTATATATTCTATATGATTGTATAATATTTTATACAACAGTACAAATAAAATATTTTTCTATTATATTTATTATGTCGAGACACAGTTTCTGTTTTCAGTTAGCTAATATAAATAACATAAATAACACCATCAAACAACACGTTGGAAGTGCTGACATTTCTAGGCTCTGAAATTTAAATCATGCTGCAATTACAACCTTTCATGCTGTTTGGAGTTATCCCAGTATTTGTTCAGTAGTTAAAATGAATGCATATTTAAACACCATTTATAAGCTGTTATTTTTATTTTGCTAAAGCAGTTTATATAGGATTTTGTTATGTTTGGCAAGAAACAGAAAAAAAATTTTTGCAGCATCTAGGTATAAATGGTTGCCAGAAAGAAATCCAGGACTTCTAGTCATTTAAAGCATCGGGGGAACAGAAGGGACAGAGGGAGAGAAGAAATACTAAAGACGCTATTGGAGATTTTGAAGACTCGTGTTTGCTTTTGGTGACAGCGGCATGTGCATGCTTCTGACAAAAAGGTCTGACTATGGAAATGGGCAACAGAGGTTTGAAGGCTCCTAAGTAACGGGGGAAGTTTCAGCGTCCAACGCTGATATTGCAGGTCTTGCAGCTGGGATCTTTCTTTGCATTTGCAGTAGACAAGCTCATTAGTTGGTGACCAGTAATTTCTGCGACTGTGCCGAGGGAGAGATCCACAGGATCAGTGTAAATTACTTCCAAAATAACATCCTGGGCATGATGGTAAACCATGACACCGTCTTCTTCATCGCAGGTCAGAAATTTATTATCTTTTATATTTAGTTGAGGAAGGCGCTGCTTACAGAATTCGTCTCCTGGTGATCCAACAGGGGCGATAACGAGAATGACGTAGTGGTAGGCTGTGTACATGCAGTAGAAGTCTCCAAAGTACAAGTTAGTATTTGGGTTGAAGAGTTTTTCAGCTGCAATCTCAAACCTGTATCTTCCATAAGGTGAATCTTGTGGTGGCTTCCCAGTGTTAAACTCAGTGTTGCAGCTAAAGAAGATGCCTTCCAGCTTCCCGCTGATCGGAGAGCCATGGCTGCCACTGTTATCCTTAACAGAGGGCTGCATAGCATTCCCGTGATGCTCTCTACAAATGAATGACTGGTATTGTTTATTTTGTAACGCATGTTAAGGAAAAAGTGGAAAGTTAGGATGTCATGCTGTTTGGTAACAGTACTGAAGGGACACAAAGGAAAAATCATTAAACTGAAAACTGGGGTTAGGGGCACGATCTTAGGACCAAGAAAATCAAGCGACGCCAGACCCAGAGAGAGCTAGAATAACTCCTGCTCAAGGGGAAAATCTGCTTTTCCAGTCTGGCTTCTCTGTCAGCTGGGAGCTGCGTGGGTATTATATGCAGGCAAAGAATAGCACAAACAAAAAAGCCCCCAAACCACCAATATCTTTAATTAGCTGATTTGTTCAGCCTTCCACTACAATTCTAACAATAAACACATTTTAGTTCAATCACATGTTGAAAATTGCAAGTCAGTCTCAATATGCTGAATATACTGTTTGTTAATACATATTTTTAGCATAGGCAGAATATACATCGTGTAGTAAACTGCCAGCAAAAGTTATTTCTAAACAATGTTTTTTAGAGAGCTTTTAGGAAGGAATGTACTGCCTGCCAGAGTTTTTTTTCCCCAAATGATAATTTCAGGTCTAATTTGTCTACTGCTGACTTCAATCAGAGCAGAGCTGGGCACAGAGTATTAAGCAATTTGGTTAGTTTCCACTTTGGTTGGTATCCAGCTTCTGCAGTCACTAGTCCTAAGGGGAAAAAATGTACAAGACTAACTCTTTTTTTTTTGCAAGCTGAGCTCAATTTGGTTCCAGTGAAAAGAAACGTTCAGTGTAACAAGTGAATTTTTAAAACCCTAAATCCCAAATTGCACTGAGCAACACTAGGCTGCTAAATTTAGGAGAACAGTCCAAAACACCCCATCTAATCCTCCTTAGCACCTGAGCTTTTATGTATAGCAGGACGTTCCCCACAACTTGTGCCCCACACCTCTCTGGAAGCGCCATAGTGACAGCTTTGGCGCGCTCTGCACCTGCAACACCGTGATACCAGAAAGGGAAACATTCCTTTTTCTAAGTCAGTCAGT